CTATTTAAATATATTTATACATGGCTTGTGTATATCTTATATATATATATATATATATATATATTATTCATACCTTCAATGTATAGGACGCAAGCAGATTTTGACATCAAATTTTGGAGTAAAAAAAGTGCGTCTTATACACCGAAAAATATGGTATATTCGGAGACGAGCGTGCGCTTTACATGTACAAACGAAATTTATTAATACAGTGTTAAACGAATGCCTTTTATCGTTGCGTTCTTTCTATGTTAATTTTGTTCGTGTGTAAGGCTTAGACTGTAAGTTACCACTTTACACAATGGCATGATATAAAATACTCTCGTGTACGTCTAGTGTGAGGAAAAGTGTATATATATGTGTGTGTGTATATATAATATAACCTGCAATATATTTATTGTACATGTAAATGTACGCGCCAACAAAGTTTTTATATAGCAATGTAAAATTATACCACTTGTACAAAAGTACATAAGGTATCATTTTAAAGTAAAAATGTCTACGGTTATAGCTCCCAAAAGTATTGGGGAAATTCCGTCCATCAGACATAATCAAAACAACAGATGCAAAGCTAGTCAGCATGTAACCGAAAAAAAACAGTACAGTCATGATTTTTTTCTTTATCTGGTGTACTTATATATTTGGTGTTTATTCATGTGATTTGTAGGGCTAATTTGAAACTAGACATATGTTTACAATATCTGAATATATGTGTCTTGTCTTAAAAGACCTGGAGCTAAGGGCCTAGAAAAATGGTTTTACACAACCGAGTGTACAGAAAAGGTTTGATGGTAGATTTGGATAGAGTGGAACTTCCTATTCATGTACAACTTGCAGTGGGGTCAAATTGGGGTGTGACGTTTTTTATAAGAGGGCCATCGAAATCATTATTTCACGCATTGACCATAACTTCTGTTCTAGATGAAAATTTCATTCCAAATTATAAACAAAACTGAACATACAAAATTGAAAATATACAGATTATATTTCAAAATGACTGACATTTATGGGTAAATATTTTTTTTTTATCAAACCTGTACATAAATGTCAAGTAGTTAAGTAGTGGCTAGTTTGGGCCAAATACCATATGATAATTAAGAAGATTTTAAATAAAAAGAGAAGTTAAAAACTTAAACATTTAAACAATCATTCAATATGATTCAAAATTGCTACAATAAGATCCCTGATTTTAAACCGCTAGCCATAAGGCATTATAGGTGACATTATAAATCATAATAATCATTTAACTTTCAGATGTAAGTGTGTATAATTGTTTAAAAATACAGCCGTATTCTGACATCTAAGTACAAAATCATCCATAAAGTATGCTACAGCACAAAATGAGAGGGATCTCTTTAAAAACAAAATGGCAACAGTGGCTTATATTTTCAGTAAACCATTAATGGCTGTTCAATCGAACATACATATCTTAAAAAGCTTGAGAGAACATGATTACTATTTGTTGAATTTTGTACTTTCGGAATTCACATGTTATCACTATGAAGCATACATCAAAATTACATGAATATGTATTACAAATGCTAAGTTCTCCTCGTCAGAGATTTCTTCCACCCGTCTAGCAGGGTTTTGACATTGTTCGCTGCCCATGCAAGCACAACTTTCTGTACAGTTCTGATTGTTCATTTCTCTGATCCTTTTGACAGAAAAGCCAGTACTGTCTTTCATTCGTTGTGTCACCTGGAACGTTGGTATATCCATACAGTTGGCACATGAAGGATTCAGTCTTTGTCGTTAGATCTGCCGATATTTCAACTTAGACCCCAGGGTAATTTTGGTATCATTGTCAATACAGAGTAACCTGAATATCTTCTTTTCCCAATACCACTTAGTGCACTTGTAAAATCACAACCAGTAAGGGTATGGAAACTGGATAAAGCATCACATATATCCCTTCCCATCTCATCTGCCATCAAGTGACATGGTATATATAGGAGCTTGTCCTTGACTCCAGTGCGAAGCTATAACTCTACGCATCTAAAGTCTTTGAAGAGGGACACACAGAACACACACACGTCGGTATTTGAAGAACGAACAACGATACGACTGTGGTTTAGAGGTGCATCCCCAGCATGTAACAGCATCCTCGTTTCAGCCTCTTAGTGATCAGACTTCAAGTAATCAATGAGAGCCCGATTGTTACTGGTGACACGAACAACCTCAGTCCCATCAAGCCAACCGTCAGTTATGATAATATCCTGTCCAGGTTTCAACACCTTCTGCCCCAATGAACACCTCTTCTCACTGACAAAAGTACACACATTTCTCTTGTTTCTGGAGTTCCCAAGGTATTTTGCCCACTGCTTTTGAACTGGTGTCTATGTGCTTGTAATGCTGACTTCCATTGCTGAGTGAGTCCCGCTTCTAAGTCTTTCACCACTCTTGATGCTTGCATGCTGATACTGATCAAACACTATATGTATTCTGTTGCACTAGGGAGCTACTGTGCATGTCAAAGTGCTTCTGTGTCAATTCGCCAAAAGTACGTGCTCCTGCATTCCCAACCATCTGAATATGTACCATTCCATCAAAGATATGGGCTGTCTTCATGTCTGGTTGTGGTGATAGCAATCTATTAAGAGTATTAACCAGTTTCTCCAACTCTCCTAATAGAACACTTTTAGTATCTTTCCTCAAGTTACCATCTGGATGTGCCAAAGCATAAAGAACAGGAGAAAGTTCAAACTGAGAATGTCTTTCAGGATGATATCGCGTACCTTGGAAGCAATGACCAATAAGCCATTTTACCATTTCGATTTTAACGGGATCTCTTTCGTTTTGTGCTGTAGCATACTTTATGGATGATTTTGTGCTTAGATATCAGATTATGGCTCTATTTTTAAACAATTATACACACTTACATCTGAAAGTTAAATGATTATTATGATTTATAATGTCACCTATAATGCCTTATGGCTAGCGGTTTAAAATCAGGGATCTTATTGTAGCAATTTTGAATCATATTGAATGATTGTTTAAATGTTTAAGTTTTTAACTTCTCTTTTTATTTAAAATCTACTTAATTATCATATGGTATTTGGCCCAAACTAGCCACTACTTAACTACTTGACATAATTTGAGGTTAGAAAGTAGATTTATGTACAGATTTGATAAGAAAAAACAATATTTATCTATAAATGGCGGCCATTTTAAAATGTAATCTGTATATTTTCAATTTTGTATGTTCAGTTTTGCATTCTCATGGGTCCTGAAGTCAAATACAATTGATTAGAGTGTGAAATCAGATTAAATTTTCATCTATACACCTGGAAAAAAGTTAAGCACCCCCAAATATTTTTCAGGATCGCTT